AACATAAATTGAACAGCGATACTAACAGCTGCGACAACGACAGCAAGAACAACAGCTACAGTTGTAACGACAATATGATAGAGACGAGAATGATTATGTGATGGGAATAATTATGAAAATGATAATGATACTGGTAATCACCATCTTCATTGTCCATCTTCATCATCTTCATAATCATTATCATCATTATCATATCATCAGTAGCATCGTCATCATCTTCATCATCATCATCATCATCATCATTATCAATCAAAGAAAATGAAGAAAAAGAAAAAGAAGAAGAAAAAGAAGAAGAAATCAAGAAGAAAGAAGAAGAAAAGATATGAAGAACATAAGAAACAGACAATGCTCACAAAATAATGACACGAAAGCGATAAAAGCGCGTTCCCTGACCCAGAAGCGACTCCCACCCGATAACAGGGAAGCGAGCAGCAAGTGACAATCAGCTGTCGATACCAGTGCCAGTGAGAAAGGCGATGACATGCAATGAGGAGGAATTTTCGCATTCTTCAGCACCTATCAATGACGCTTGTTAAAAGTCCATTATTAGGCACAGCGCTAGTCAGTTGAATTACCATGTGCGGATGGTTGTTGCGTATGCTAATTTGAATGAATGTATTAATTAATGTTAAATAAGGGCGAGGGTGTGTCTGATTTTTAACATAGTGGAGTGTACGTGGGTAGTACGAGAGTGTGGGATGGGGGTGTTTTTGTGTGTGGTGTGGAGTGTGTGTGTGTGTGTGTGTGTGTGTGTGTGTGTGTGTGTGTGAGGGGTTGTGTGTGTGTTGTGTGTGAGTGAGTGATTTTGTGTTTGAGTGTGTTAATGTGTGTTGTGTGAGTGTGATTTGTATGTATGTATGTTTTGTGTGTGTGTGTGTGCTTACGTGCGTGTATGTGTGTTTGTGTGAGTATGAGTGCAAGGAAACCATTCTGCAAATCTGGAAAACATGTGCAGAAATTGTTGTAGTAAAAATCAGCATACATCCCTGCATATTGAAGCTGCATAAATTCCCCTTCCGGTTTTGCAAATGCAGTGTTTTCTGCACATTCTATGATATTCATTTATACGTTGCAAAATACTCCTGCGTTGCAACAGTCATTGCTGTTGTTTTGAGCATATCTGGCGTTATGATTGCGTGCAGTGCAATGCTTCTTTTTATTTTCCTTTGGTTGTCGTGTTTTGCCCTTTGTCATTTTATCTTTCTTTTTTATTCATCTATTTGTTCTCTCTTGTTTTCCAGCGGTGGTCTTGCTTTGCTTCTTGTGGTTGGTTTGTTGTTTTTGTTATTACCATTATCATAATTATCACTATCATTATCATTACTATTATTATTATTGTTATTAGTAGTTGTTGTAGTAGTAGTATTCTTATTATTATTATCATTAACATTATTATTATCAATATTATTTTGTCATTATCATTATTGTTATTATCGTTGTTATTATTCTTATTATCATCATTATCATTACTATCATTATTATTGTCAGTAGTAGTAGCAGTACTAGTAGTAGCAATAGTAGTAGTTGTATTAGTGGTAGTTGTTGTTGTTTTTGTTGAAATTGTTGTATCATTATCAGCACGAGCAAAACCATTGTTACCATCATTATGATAATTTTTATTATTGATATGATTATTCTTATCATTACTATGATCACTGTTACCATAGTTATAAAAAATATAACTATTATTAGCATCACTTTTATCATTATTATTACAACTATTATTGTTATTATTATCATTATCATTATTATTATTACTGATATTATCTTCATTATCATTTTCATTGTTATCATCATTATGATTTTTATTGTTAACATCATCATTATCATTATCATCATTATTACTATTGTTATGGTTATCCTCACTATCATTATCATTATTATTAGTAGTATTACCTTTATTGTTATTATGATTGTCATTATCATTATTATCATTTTATTATTATCATATTCATTATCATCATATTCCTTGTTATTATTATTGTTATCATTATTATTATTACTGTTATTATCATCAATATCATCATCATCATTATCATTACTATTATTACTGTGATCATCATCATCATGAACAATATCAGCATTATTATCACTATCATTACCATTAACATTATCATAGGTATTGTTATCAATAGTATCATCATTCTTGTCATCATTTGTCTAATTACTGATATCAATGGTGTAGGCGTAATTGTAATAATTTTTTCTCATTCTTTCATCTGCCACATCATATCTAATTCTCTTGATTGATATATTTATTTTATAGGTTAGTAGTTTTTTTCTTCTATTCTTTTTACTTGTAGGTCACTATTGATAATTATCTTTTCTTTCTTTTTTGTTTTGTACTTTTTTTTCTTTCTTTCTTTTTACTTGTAGGTCAATAATGTTTCTTTCGTTTTTGTGTTGTAGTATATCTTTTTTGTTTTTTTCAACTTATAGGTCACTCCTGATTATTTTTTTCACTCTTTTTTTGTGTTGTAGTTTAGCAGCATTTTTTCTT